ATCAACACACAGTTAAAATATTTCAAATCCATTTTGGATCTAATGCACATGACTAATTGAATTATAAAAAAAGAATCATAAATTTTCTAAGTGAAGTAACAAAAATCCAATCCGAACTTCACCTAATTTAGGTCAGTTGTCTTTGCAATATAGATAATTGATCCAAATTGTCCCGTACTTAGGATGGGTCATTAGTTTTTAGGTAAAGAGGCAGTTTGAAATCAATCCTCTTCTCTCAGGGCGTCAGGGGTAAAGAGAAAAAGAAAAATCCGTTCTCCGAATAATCTCCATGTCACCCTTTTCACCACTTTAAATGATGAATTCACTTTTGTTAGAACCGTGTCTAAGCCAAACATACAGAAAAAGAGAAAGAGAGACCGTGTAGACTAGGGCGATTCCATTAAAATTAAAGCCAGTCACATCGCTCTTCAATCCTAAGTGGAGTTCATTTTCATATGCGATGTCACCAGATTTTTTTTTTTTGTCCGTTCGGCAGTGAACTCGTCTTAAATGGCCCTCGGTAAGATACACGTTGTGGGGATTGTGGACTCCCTGACCGTGAGGCGTGAGCGACGATGGACGTCTCCTTGTCGTTGGCCCGTCCCCGGTTTGTCCAATGTTCTTTCACGAATCACGACTGGTGGCGCAATTCATAGCGTTGGATTTGGGATCTCTTGCCAATGAAATACTTTCCAACACTCTATCAACATAAACTGGGATCCACCATTGCTGTATATGAGATAAATCTGAATCTCCTGTCTATAAGAATTCTGCCCATGTCTATCCACACAATATCGCAGACACACATAGAGAATATCTCATCCTCTAGGAGATTCGGATATGTGGTGTCAAATCTTGTTGGGAGGGTATTCGAGCATATTTTGTTGGCAGCTGATCGGACTGTTTTGCCTTGGATAAATGCTTTGGTTTGGGCCACTGGTGACTGGATCATTTATTCAGGCTGCTATCACATTGGTCCAATCATGGAACTTGCTTTTTTTATGAGAATTAGAATAAAGATATAAAACTTAAAGAAGAAAAAGAAGAGAAAGAAAGTTTTATTTATTAATTAATATAAATAAAAAATGTTATGTTAGAAGAAATGATTTGTTACAAGTTGAAATGATTAAAAAAGGTTAGGGGTAAACCAAAAAGGATATGGATAATAAAAAATGATTAACCATTTATAGTTTAATTATGAATATGACTTTAAATAGAAGGGATTTACGAAAAAAAATCATATAACGGACTCATATAATTATTGGAGTAAGGCATGGATGATGATGATGATAACTACAATTTAGAAAAAAAAAATAAAAAGCAATGACAATTCAACATATTCTAGAACTGAAGCTCTTCTACCTGGAGTCGTTCTCATCTAACTTTTACTAAGCCCAAAGAGCTCTTATTATAAGAAGGATGGCAATATCTTGGTCAAAGTCTGAGGTGATGGAACAGCCATCAGTTGGGTATACATCTATTGTCTGTGTAACCTTGAATATTTCTGGTAGTTAAAAGATATTTGTCATGGCTTCTGTCTCCATCAAGCAAATTTTGTTCACAGAAATAAAGCAACGTGAAAAGATATTACTAGGTTTTGAAATTTCATGCCGACGCTAAAGAAAGAATAATTGTTATAGTATTTTTTCCAATTTTGCTGCGAAATACATAGGTGCGGATTAAAGCAGAATCTGGAAAAAGATTACCAACTCACTCCAGAGCTGTTGTTGGTCTATGACAATATTCTTTGGCTTTGTTTCTTTTCAATGTAATTTGATTTTCATTTCTAAGTAGTACAAAAGTATGGGAATGTAAATAAGTTGAATGCAAATTATTTCTGATTTTATTATTGTTTTATATTTTACTTTGTTTTATTTGTTTGTAATGTAGTTTAAGTGGAATAAAATCTGAAGCAAAGTAAAGCAATACCCCTATCAAAAGTGAACAGAAATTATATTCTTCTGATTTATACTCTCATGCATTTGTATTTGTGCAAATGAAATTGAATTACAATTACAAGGAGCCTTGGGGTAAAGCGGTCACCCCACTTCACTATTCTGCATAATCAATCAACAAAATTGACAGTTCCATTGAAATTATTTGTAAAATGTAAACTCTGCTAGCTAGAACAAATAAACCCACTTGTAGTTTCCTAGGGTATAGGGAATGCAAATAGATTGGATTGAATTCGAATCAGGGTATATCTAGATCCAATCTGATAGTACAAACATCTGATTTGAAGATCTGATCGGATCACATAAGCACATATTTGAATTCGAATTGTTAATAATGTCAGATATTCAAATATGATTTGATCTGATTTAATTTATTAAAAATTTAAAAAATATAACAGTTTATATAAAGAAAAATAAAATAAAATACAAGTATTTTCTTTAACTATTTTCATTACATATATACATGTGTTTTTATAAAAAATAAATAATATAAAAATTACAAAAAATGCAATACACACATATTTATTAATAAATAACATTTATATTGGATCGAGTAGGGGTTGATCTGAATTCGATCTGATTTTTCAATTGGATTTAAAAATCTAATAGGAGTATATCCGAATCTGACAAAATGGGATTGGATTTCACATCTGATCGAATCATGACCCGATATATTTACACCCCTACTAGGGTCCACTTGGTTCTCAGGAATAGGGATTTGGAATCAAGATCAGAATGACATCCCATTCTAAATCCAACTGTTTGGTTGGGTGGACTGGAATTCCAAGTCTCTTGACCCCTAATCCCCAAATCCTATTTCTCTTAACTTGAGGTCAATTTTCATTGGAAGTCATGCATATGTTATGAAATTTGATTTAGATTAGGGCCGGGATTTCAATTATCATGTTCTAATTCCAACCACCCTTAGGCTGTGTTTGGTTTGAAAGTAAAGGTAGAGAAAATAAGGAGAAACCTATACCAGACTTATACCAAACCACTTCCAAGCCCACTTGAGGGGAGAATGACTGATCAGCTCAGTTCAGAATTTTTTAGCCTTACGGTACAGGAGATGGATCTAACCGTGGATTATTGATGCCAAATCCACGGGCTAGTAGGCGAATAGGTCTGACGAGTGGCGATATTGAAGGAGTTGACATACCGCACCAGAGACAAGAGAGAGAGAGAGACGAGTGGCGAGTGGCGATTTCAATTATCATGTTCTAATTAGCCACGGCTTTCCCACGTAAGATTAATAGGAAAAAAAATGCTCCCTTCCCCACGAAAACAAAATAGAAGTAATCGTCGTCATTAGATATATCTGCTGCATTGTCTCCTGTTAAGATTTAAGACAGGACACAAATAGTGAAATTGCAACTAACTCTGTGGCTATCGAATCTCTGATTTTTGACGCTTTCTTGCGCTAGTTGACATAAAATGGGAACATGTAGATTCATAAGTTCCACACATTGGAGTCGCAGCTTCAAGTCAAATCTTATTTATCTCATCAACCAAACCAAAATTCAACAAAACAATTAATATAATTCCAGGTTGAATGTCATGTTTCAGCTTTGTATTTTGCATCCTAAAACCAACATCAATGCTAGAGATACAATTTTGTTTTTGTTTTGTTTTCAGTTTCTCATAAAATTTGAATTTATATCTCTGTATATTCCAGTTCATCATGTAAAAATTTTGTTGAATATGATAAATTGTACACTTGAACTGAACTGATCAATGAGAAAGAGATAGAGAATACAATTTCAGCCTTGTAGAATAAAACCCGGCCAGACTTGGTCAGACAAATTAGGTGAGACTTGGGCCCGATAATTAGCAGCAAAATCTGGATTGACCATCCACACTCACTAAATGCATGGCAAATGCATCAAGATGTTGTTCGATTTCATTTATTTCCTACGTCAAACAGCTGTTTCCAGTACAATTTTGTAGCAGATCCACCGACCCATTGCAAATTTACTACCACCATTTTGGGTTTCCTTTCCTTAGTTAAAAGAAAGCTACATCCAACAGCAAGCCGGGTATTACCAGAGGCCAGAGGGTCTCACAACTCAGTGACTATGGTGGTGGTTTTTCATCTAATGCGGAAAGAGTTAGGGTTACAGTATCAGTTGGTCTGGAAACTGGACCCCATATACATGTGTACACGTGCTTAGTTCCGCCACGAGATTTGCATGAAAACAAACACTACCTTCTTCACTGCAACATTTAACTCGTTTTTGTTATAAAAAATAATCACTGTTCTTTTGCTTTTGTTTGAGAAAAAAATTAAAAGCAGTGGAATCATGTTCTATTTCCTTATTTCGCACAACCAGCTTCGTTTGATGCATCAGACAAGAAAACATTCCTCTTGGTTCTCGACACTTACAGGGGTTTCCGAACTCTAGCTCCCAAGCAAAATATCGGCGCAACCCCAAACTCGGTAAAATGATGATTTCAAATGCGAAAGACGAGTTCCAGCAATGGCTCATGTCACGCCATGACTGTACCAACCGATCCGAGCCGAGTTTGAATTAATGCAATAGCTCGATTTTCACTCAATTCTCCGTGCTTGGTTCTAGTTTTAATTTGGGACCTTACTGGGTCATTCTCTCATCAATGTCTCCCCCCAAGAAAAGAAGGACAAATAACGAAATGAATCTCCCTTCACTCGTGGAATGGAAGTGGACTCTCTGAATCCCGATCCCAACTCACTCACTCGCCGATCCACTTCTCTTTCCCTTTCTTGTGGGTCCGTGCGTTTTTTCCAGTTACATGTCTCGTCTCCATCAACCGTAAATACCTATCCATCACCATCACCACATACTAGCAGCTCTTGTTGATCATCTCACACCGTCTCTCTCTCTCTCTCTCTCTCTCTCTCTCTCTCTCTCTCTCTTTTCCACCTATAAAACCCATCTCCTCAACTTCTAGTTACCCCGTAAGCTGCAGCAACCCAAAATATTAATAAGAATGAGGGTGGGGATAGCACCGGTTCGGCCCTGCAGTCTTCCTACTCCAAATTCTCCGGCGGTGGTTCGTTGTTGTGCTGCGGCGCCATCTAAACCGGTCAGACTTGGGAAGAGATGGATGGAGTATCAGGGAATCAAGAACTGGGAAGGCTTGCTCGACCCACTCGACGATAATCTCCGTGGAGAGATAATCAGGTACGGTAAGTTTGTCGAGGCCGCTTACAGTTCCTTCGAGTTTGATACTTCCTCTCCGTCCTACGCCACCTGCCGGTTCTCGACTCACTCACTCTTGAAGAACTCCGGAGTGTCCAACACCGGCTACCGTGTAACTAAGAATTTGACTGCCACTTCAGGGATCAAGTTTCCTCGTTGGGTCGAGAAGGCACCGAGCTGGGTCTGGAATCAGTCCAGCTGGGTTGGTTACGTGGCAATTTGTGATGACAAAGACGAGATCGCTCGGCTCGGTCGGCGTGACGTGGTAATTGCTTACCGGGGAACGGCTACATGCATGGAGTGGCTGGAGAATCTACGTGCAACGCTGACTCATCTCCCAAACGCTCCGTCGAATGTGGGTCCTGACATTGGCGGACCCATGGTGGAGAAGGGTTTCTTGAGTCTCTACACATCTGAAACCGCTACGTGTCGCAGCCTACGGGACGAGGTGAAGGAGGAGGTGGGCAGAATCTTGCAACGCTACGGTGACGAGCCGCTGAGCTTGACCATCACAGGGCACAGTCTGGGCGCAGCGCTGGCCACACTCACGGCCTACGACATAACGACGACCTTCAATAGTCCGGCTCCCTTGGTTACGGTGATTTCCTTTGGGACGCCACGTGTTGGCAACCGGAGCTTTAGTTGCCACGTGGAGAGATGTGGGACCAAGATTCTACGCATCGTTAACTCTCATGACCTCATAACCAAAGTTCCCGGCTTTGTAATCGACGGCCACGACCACCATGGTGAGCTTGACAGTGAAGAGGTTGGGAAGAGGAGGAAGGGTGCTGCCGGTATGGCAGCAGGTCTACCGAGCTGGCTTCAGAAGCGAGTGGAGGAGACGCAATGGGTGTACGCCGATGTAGGGCGGGAGCTCCGAGTGAGCAGCGGTGACTCATCGTATCTGACGTGGCCTATTACGAATGTGGTGACGCATCACGACCTGGATACGTATCTCCAGCTGGTGAGTGGATACGTGAGCTCTAAGTGTCCTCTTAGGGATACGGCAAAAAGAGTCCTCAGTGGGCGCCGAGCAGAGAAGTGTCAGACTCAGAATAAGATTAGAAAGCTAGGCGGATGAGAGTTAACGGTGAGAACTAGAAGGGTTCGTGTCCCGTACGTACCGAATTTGGTACACGAGGCGTATAATTCTTTTCTTGTACATATTAATAAAAAATAAATTTAATTCTGACAAAATCAAGGTTCAACATACGATAATGATACACCAACAAAGTATTGGGTGAGATCTGACAAGTATTTCATTACACGTTTGGGAGTAACAGTTTTAACCTGAGATCGGCTTCTACCAGGGCAAATCTGTGCCCACCACACCGTTCTAACACCCTTTACAACCTTGCATTGAAAATATCTTCGCATGAAATAAAGCACACGAGTAATCCGGTATTCTCAAGACGGTAAAGGCTTAGCCCTTTCCCTAAACACTTGTCAAATAGTGATTGGTTGTGTGAGAAAATATTAACCATCTAGTAGATGGAACTCGCCCCAGAAAGGCAATCCTTGTTGTTTGGTCGTAGAATTGTGAATCGCGATAAAAGAAAATTGAGAATGGAACGTGGCGTAGCATACTGGCATTGTCTTCACCGGTACCTGAATTGACGGGTCCACGTCATATTTGGGTTGTTGCTTACGTGTCCGAGTTGCAGGGTTGCACCGACCAAATTTGGTTTGGTCTCACATTCCAAAATTCCCATTTTGTTCACCAACGTTCCAAAACAAACTCGTACAGCTGGCATCTCCGGCCCTACTCACTCCCTATTCCGATATAATCAGCATTGCACAAGGAGGATGACGGGCGGACAAACTTGTTTCACTTGATAAGATTGGTAACGGCTACACTTTGATCCATCGCCCTAAAATGCAAACCAAGCAGCTCTCCTTTGAGAAAATAAAATGAAAAATAGAAATAAAAGTTTATAGACAAAAAAGAGAAAAAATTTATTATGAAATTAACAATGGAGAATAATACAGAGCTGTGCATATACAAACTTACTCATAGAAAAACCTTACACCCCATATAAACCCAAAATCTTTCACTTCTCTTACAAAACAAAAACAAAAATATATAAAAAAGAAAAACCTTCAAAATACATAATTCTTCGCATTTGGTTCAGACGCATAAGCTGAATATAATAAAAATATATATATATATATATATATATATATATATATATATATATATACCATTATAGGGGCAGCGGCCCAAAACCTATAACCCACCATAAACTATTATAAAATTTTGCTTTCAATTTTTTTCTGAATTTAATTCGAATCAGGTTCATGATGAAACGGGTCGCATCTGGTATGTCACAACCGTAACAAAAAAAGAAAGAAAAAATGTTACAATGAAAAAACGGGATGAAGATGGAAAGAGTGCCACAAAGATTCATGTGGTGTTTTTTCTCACTTTCAGCCGATGTGACACGTGGAAAACAACAGCCAACGGAAGAGATGAAATAGTCCAATCCCACGAGTCACGATGATAAAGAATTAGAAAAACCCAACTTTCAGTACAGTCATGATGAACGAAACTATCTGTGTTTTTTTAGAAATTCTTTTTCTGCGGTGCATACTCTATTTATCTTTATGTTTTTTTTTGGATTCTAGCAGATTAGGCAACTTTTTGCCCTAAATATCAATAAAAGATAATGTTTTTATAAAATATTAAGGAAGGCAATGATACTATTCATCGTCTTCCTTAGATCATCGGTTCCAAGAAGCGCAAGCCACCACCAAATCAAACTTCGTCGCCTGTAGATCATCTGTTCCAAGTAGCGCAAGCCACCGCCAAATCAAGCTTCGCCGTGTTGGTCGATGCTTGCAGAAGCGTTCTATCTCTAGGCGACACCCATCTCGGGAACCCACCCACCATTCTGCCATACTCTGGGAACACCTCAGCCTTGGAGCTTCTGTTCGACTTTGGGATCTTCTTAAGCATGGCGAGAGAATTACTGACCGAGTGGCTTATGTTGTACAAGCCTTGCTTGATCTCGATCTTCTCTTACGTTGCCCTTACTGTGAGCAAATCCATCAAGACAGGTGTATTGATTCGTCATTGCAGCACTTAAGAGAGTTCCCAAGTCATTATAGTGCCTCGAAGGTGAGTTTTTCGGTGACAGACCGGACAGAGCGCTTTTAAGATCAGCGACGGTCTCGTCTAAAATCTCTAGACAGTCATCCAGAGCCATCTCTTGAAGCGGGTCGAGTGTTCTGCGCTTCATTCGGATGCCAGTGCAGTTAGAAGCAGATATTCTCACTTCATTGACTGTGTGCTGGACTGTAGCGGACTGGCATCCGAATGGGCGATCTGAAGATGTTTGTGAAGGTGCAATGGTGGGATTTTGATGGACTTTGGTTCTTTTTTGATCGGATTTACTGAGGAGAGTAGTATTAGTAAAAGGGTTGAGAGGGTTAAGAGAAGAGGCAGCAGCACTTTAGTTATGGTTTTGAGATAGAACATGGTGCTTCAGTCTTCAGTCTTGAGAGAAGGAGAGAGCAGGAGCAGAAAGATGGGAAGTAGAGAAGCAAAGAGGAGGAGAAATGGAATGATTGACTAGACTCTTTAACTGTGGTGTCTGGATTAATATTTTGGGGGCTTAATTAATGGGGTAAGCTTCCGTGGAACATCACCGATTAAAAACAATCACACAGACAGAGGAAAAGGAAGGCGATGAACAGTGTCATTGCCCTTTCTTTTTTATGATATTTTTGTTATTTTATAAAAATATTATTTTTTATTGATATTTTAGACAAAAAGTTGCTCGACAAAAAATATTATCTTCTATTGATATCTAGGGCAAAAAGTCTCCTTTCTCACACACAAAGCCATAATAATGAAGGTATCAGACTCAAGTCAATCAACCCATCCCAAAACGTCGAAAGCATAGGAAACGAATCGGAGAGAGAGATGGAATAGAAGTGGGTGATATATGATTGATACAAGCACACCCAAGAAAAGGTTGGTGTCGGTGGTCTTACATCAAAAACCTATCACAGTACTCAACACTTGTTCAGTCGCCACTTGTCTAACATTCTCACAACCTCTTCTTCTTCTTCCATTCTACTTTAATTACCTTTGCCTTCACTAGCTACATGCTCCCTCCACTCCTCGCTTCCTTCCATCATACACTCCTCTCTGCAGTAGTCTGTAGGGCCAGTATGGGCCAGTCATTCGTATCTTAACCTACTAAGTCTGGGAAAGAAAGTGAGAGACGGAGAGGGAGAAGAAGAAAGTGGTAGCGTGGTAGATTGACTTTTCCTATGTTTCTGTGTCTGTTTTAGATTATTTTGAGCCTCCTCTTTTGTCTCCAAGCAATGCCAGCAGGCTACCTAGCTATTCAGAAGCTCCGAGTCTCGCTTAGGAATCGTGGGAATCATGCTAAGTATAGCCAGCTGGTTTATCCACCGATGCTATGCTTTACTGTAGAGTCCAGAGTCCTCCCCTGCTGCTTGTTGCACCTTGTGCTCTTTGTTATGTGTTTTCGGTTCAACTTCCATTTGCGCCTTGTGCTAGCATTTATTGTCAGCCAGATGAAACTTGCCCGGCCGGGGCTCATGATTTTATAATAGCTGATGAACCGTATCACTTACTATATGTCTGTATCGTCTATTTCAGCAGCCCCTAGTACTTGGACCTTAGTTTCGGCTCTTATTTGAATCAATAGTTTGATATTAGAACTAGTGAGGCCCAGGTTTATGTGCATTTAAAAATACAAACATCACTTATATCAAAATCAATTTCTTTTTTTTTTTTTTCTTTTTGATTTATTTTAAAGGATTACACACCCGAGGTAGCCCATAACCCCCCTAACCCAGGTGCAGATGGGATTCGATCCCAAATCTCCGTTTTAACCAGCCACTCCGCTATAACCAGCCAGCAGGAGACCTTACCAACTCGCTGGTTGGCACCTTACACAGTCAATTTCTTCTTTTATTTGATTGGGATTGTATTGAGTTATAACAATTATTAAACGCCTGAAATGGCATTGGTACCAAGCACACCCATAGTTGATTGCAACCCATATCCAACCTGACCCATTGCCATTGTATGTTTACACAAAATTGGGATGGGGTTGTAAATGCATTTATACATCCCTTATTTTGGAATTCAGACTCTGGGAACTCAGAGACCAGATGGAGGAGGTTTTCAAACGTGGGAATGCTCTGAAGAGTTCGGATTTCCTACCCACATAATATTGTAACCATATATGGAGAACATCGATCTCATCCTCTTACATATTATTATGTACAGGGAGATGCTTTTAATGCACAGAGATAGTGTTTTGTGGGTAAAATTCTTGTGGGCAAGAGATCTAGAGTCTGCTCTAAATCAATGAGTACCCTCAATACTAACCTAGCCACTGTAAGATAATGATATCTTGATCCTTTATGGTCTTACTTGATTTCACTGCTTTTTGTCAATCCACTTAACACAGTTGCCATAAATTACAGTACAGATTCCATTAAGACAACAGAGAACAACCCAAAACCATGCTTCCTTTACTATCTTTCTTATGGTATCAAATGAGCCTAAAAGAGGTCAATGATATCCATTGTCTCCTACACAGAGCCAACCTTCATTGCATGCTGCATGAATGATGCTTTTGTTTAAGATGATATAGTGGCCCTACATGTTATGTTATATTACTCTTTTAACATGCCATAACTGCTGAAGCATTTCACCTGTTTTCTCCATTTCCCCCATTTTTTTTCATGTCTCTCAAGAATCCCCATCATCTCTTGATGCAGAGTATGACTGGTCTAAAGCAAACTGGTCTAGTTTGGGAAAACTAGGCTCTAAATTCTCTCATAATGATAACAAATTAAAGCTATGGCTACATATAGGAAGACAATGCACTGCATCTGTTTAGAAAATATGCTAGATGTCTATAAGATAATCCTTTAAAGATTTTCTAATCATGAATTGAGAGTAACATTCCCTTATTTCTATGCCATTTATTTTTGCGTACATGCAATTATTTTTGGTCTGTTCACATATATTGTTAATGGACTGTAATTACTCCAAGTATATATAATTTTATTAGCATGAAAATGTGAGAATAA